CTGCCCAGGGGGGCTGTGGAGTCTCCTTCTCTGGAGGTATTCAACCCCCGCCTGGATGAAGTCCTGTGTACCATGCTCTAGGAGAACCTGCTTGAGCAAGGGGGTTGGACTGGGTGAGTTCCTGAGGTCCCTTCCAACCCTTGAGATTATGTGATTCTGTGATTAAATCTCCAAGCAAGAAAAGTCTGTATTCCTGCAAGTCGCCCTACTATATGAAAGACGATGCATTTAGAAAACCTGTGATATCCCAAACATTCCAAATTACAAAAAGAACATCTAAGTTTTCTCCTCAAACTATGTGGTGAACTTCTCAGGCAGGTTCCACAATTTACTGTGGCCCCCTCGTGGTCACAGCCAGAGAGTGACATCACTCCATTTTCTCTAGAGGCTTTCTTGGCTTGTCAAGAATATTTGCAACATCAGTCACTATAAAAGAAATAAATCAAAAGTGCATGCAAAGAGAGGATAACCATTCTTAGAGCAAAGATCCTTGTTCTGGTAGCCAGCCCCTACGACAGCTATTGTTTGCAATGATGTATACAGTGAAGATCCAGCATGCTGTCAGGTAGAACAATGTTCTTATTCTTCTCCTATAGGTGTGGAAACAAAACATGGATTTCTGCACCTCCACGCACTGTGCAAGAGAACAACAAACACTTCTCTGTCCTCCAAGGTGAGACTTCAGCCCAGAACCTGCACAGGCCATAAGCACAAGAAGGACAACTCGCTCTTTGAGAATTACAATATGAACCATTGGCTGCTGCTTTGAAGCCTTTGAAAGCATGGTCTGTGTTCGGCCAAACATCCCCTAGCTCTTGGGCTATCATGTTGGGGTCAGCGTCTGTGACAAAAGAACGGTGCTAAGGGGAAGAGAGAGTATGGGTCATGTACAGAAGATGACTAAAGCAGGACTAAGGCTTTAAAATGAGCTGGAGTGACAAAGGAGGAGAGGGAGAGAAAGATAAAAGCCTCCCAACTACCTTCTGTCCATCACTTAAAAAAGCATTCAAAAGGCATCATCATCTTGTGTTTTCTCTCCCTAACAGTGTATCTTTTGAACTGAACGTGGCCAGCGTGCATCTCCCTTAGGGCAGGACTGTACTGACCCGCATCATACAGAATTCTGGAGAAGGAGAAGCTATTCCCGGTCTCAGCCCCATACCTTTTATAGGGAATCCAACATTCTCCTCATCAGAGTCACTGTCCAGATCAAAGAGGTCCTTGAATTCCTTCTTATCTTCTTCCTTGCTTTCGTCTTGCTTCTTACGCTTAATTTCTGGGAAGTTCAAGTCTTCAAGCTGGAAAAAACCAAAACCAACAGTAAGAACAACCTTAATTTGTACTTTTGAACATAAAATGCTGAGCTTAAACACAGGAACTTGGCTTTGCCCAGTATGTGTAAGCTACGTTGCCAAGAATAGTTGGGTCTGCCTGCTGCCAACTAGGGGAGCAACACAGATTTGTGAGTCAGTTACAAAGGTGAATGATACGTGCAAAGCACCACTGCTCTATTGATCTTTACCTAATAAACTATTTTTGCTAATGGGCCGTCTACTGCTGGTACCTTAGCATGGATAAAAATGCAAGACATCCATAACCAGCTGGCTGTCCTAGATCTCCAGTCTGAAAGCCATGCAGGCCCCGTGAGCTTGGCAGCCAAGCACCACCAAGCCAGACTGCTCTGGTCAGCTCTGAAGTAGCAGTTTTCCACCAACACCAGAAGCTGTGTCAGCTATAGCAAAGGCACTGCCCTTTTGGCTGCAGATTTCAGCACGGTTAAATGGCAAGGTTCTGAAGATATTTAAGGTCTGTCTACACCATGGCTTCCCAGGTTGCTAGCCCTTAAGGAGATCAACGGGCCAAGAGCCTTGCTACTGCAGCCGGCCAATATCAATGCCATTAAGTACTTGCAATTGACACCACCTCACTGCTCTTTACACCTCTCCAGAGGGGGATTAGGGGGAGGATTTACTTGCAAGGGCTCAGGCCAGCAGGGCAAAGATAATCAGAATGCAAATTAAATCCCAAGTGCTCTCTGAACATCAGCTGCCCGCTGCCCGTGCCTGGCTGCACACCTCCTGGGAAGCACTCATGCATTAGCACACATTAGCTTGCTTGGAAACATTCGCCCTGCGAGTAATAACTCATTTGCTCTCTCCCACCCGTCAGACCACCCTTCAACACACTCCTCTCTGACCACATCCACTCCAACCCTCCCATGAGCTTCCCCCAGCGGGAATAGCAGCAAAGCACAGCCCATATAGAAAGGCAGCTCTCAGTCGACAGAGAAAAAGAGTGAGCGTGTGGGGATGGGGGGGAGGGATGACGAGAGACACGGAGACTGCATTTGCTCCTGCAGCCAATTCCAGCAATTTCTCCCAGCCTGTTTCATGGTTATGGTCCCCAGCTGGGCAATATTGATTCTGGGAGCTGAGCACTTACAAGCAATAACCTGCAGCACCAGGATGGAAAGTCAGAAGCTGTCCAGAGAAGGGGAGAGGAGAGCAAATCTCCAACCACCATTTGCAGGGTCCTAATTTTAAATCATCTTCCCACCTGCTCTTTTCCACTATGAGATGCCTCTACTTCCACCGGCTCTGCAGAGACACGCTGGGCTGTCCCTGTGCCGGGAAGACGCATGAAGAAAGCAGCACACGACTGGCTTCCCAAACAGCAGTCGTTGCATGCCAGAGAACAGACTTGGGAAGCAAAACACAGCAAGAGCAGCAATCCAGAGTCACTGCCAAACGGCTGCCCTCAGCTGACCTAATGACATATTGTAACCACCCTCCTTCCTAGGGCGGTTATGCTCCAGCAAGCTCCATCGTGGGGCAGGGGAGCTGCTACGCTGAAAACATTTTCCTTAGCCCCTACCAGTTCTGGTGGACAAGACAGGCTCATGCTTCCCTCCTCTCATCTGTTCTGGCACATAATTTTATGGAGGGTGGGAGGGCAGGGGGAGAGGCTCCAGAAATACTTATTCAATGAGAGGCTCCAGAAATAAAACACAAAGGTCTCAGAAGCTAAAATATATCAGCAGCTATGCTTCTAACCCAGCATTAGGCTGTGATCACAGACACAGTCCCCGTATCTGACCCCTTTCAGTTTAAACATTCCTTGCCTCTGCCAGTGCCTCAGCCAGGTCATGCTGCCATCATCCCAGCCTCGGGGAGAAGCACCGGTGCTTCCTGCAGCCCAAGACCTGGACCAGCACCATGCCCTCCCTCGGTAGCTCCATTTGGGGCAAGGCTTCTCATGTCCCAGAGACGGTCACTCCAACAGGTACTAGGGACTGTACCCTGTGGTATGGCTGAGCCAACTCTGGAAGTCTCCCAGCCAGAGGCAGCACCTTTGGGCCTTCTTCTGTGCCAAGAGCCACGCTACTGGCAGAGTCCTTGTCTGGCAGCACTGGTAGCTATCACTCTTCAGCAGTTAAACAGGAGTCCAGCACTGCCTAACCAGGAAATAATTGAGGTTGAAAGCATCACAAACAGAAGCAGAAGCCCAGTTTTGACAATGAACAACTGCTGCATCAACTGCCCAAGTCCCTGTTGGCTAGTCCTGGTCTCCATGACCCCGGTCACTGCTACTGCTCAGCAGCAGTAAATGAAACGCAAAAATCATCCAAGGTCTTATGCTCCCTCATCACACATCCTGAGCATGGGATGTTTCCATGGAACACATCCCTTAGTAGGTTTAAAGTGGAACTGGAGCTGTGTATGAGTAAAATGACTCACGTTCATGATGTAGAACAGTCTTCTCCAATTCTCCAAACTTCCCCACTTCAAGGCAGCAAAAGAGAGAGACTTCTCTCAACATTGTGAAAAATGTCCCCAGTATCCCGAGCAGGAGCAGGTACAGCAGGGAGCTGTTAGTTGGGACTTCTTTGTATTTTCATACTGCCTAGGAAAAGTCCCCATTTCCAAAGGCAGCCTACAGTTTTGGGTGACATCAGTATTGGCTGAACTCAACCTGAGCGTATCAAAAAGGACCTGGTGTTGAATCATGCTGAGTTGTGCCTCTCCACAGGAGTGCCTTCAAGATGGGCACCTCAAAATAAAAGCACCAGAAAACCCTACTAGTTGTGGGGCGATCACAAAACAAATGAATGAGACTTGTACTGAGCCACAGCTCACAGATACAGCCTGTGTTCATCACACAGTAGCAGTAATTAGGTAATTTGGGGGCCAGTCTTTTAATCCCCAGCTAGAGGGTTACTACCTACTGAGTCTCACGAAGCCGATTAGTCTACATCCCATTAAAAACCATTGGGAAAAGCAAATGGAATGGGCAGAAGGGTCAGCGTTGTTATAGAAGGCAAGCTGCAGCTCATAGCAGCTGAACGCCAGGCTGATTTTTTGTTATTATTTTTTCCCCCCAATGGCTGCTAATGGGACATGGATTTTCCCAGCCCTAATGGGCCTCATGGTGTTCACTCTCCTGCTGGGGCTCACAATGCTGCATCATTAAGCTCGCAGTCCCCACCGAGAGAGACAACAGCCCCATTCACCAGGCAAAGATGCCAGGCAGCCACAGACCTTTCAGAAAGCTAACTCCGAAGTCTGTCTCTTCCTACAGTTTATCTGTTCAGCCCACTATCTCTGAGAGAAAACAAGTCCCTGTCACTGCCCTTCAGACTTCCCCTGGTTTCAAAAGTCACCCTCTTGAGCCTTGCTGTAGGAAAGCAATCCCTCAAGGCAACTCTCCACCTCAGCTGGCCCTGGCCACCCCAAGGAGCTCCAGCTCCCCTTCTCCCTTTAACATGAGATGGGGGCTTGTCCACACTGAGGCCTGATCTCCTCTCCCGTTGTGATAGCTGCTTCGGTACCAGGGAAGGGTCAGCTCACACCAATAGGGCCTATTTTGGGCAAGAGATCAGCCCCACTCACAGCCATCACTTCTTGCTGTTTTTTAGTTCCCCCCCTTTCTGCTAAGGCCACATTCTCCTGCTGGGTTTGCACAGAAAACAAGCGTGCTTCCTATTCCCTCTGCATGGCTGCCCCAGGGAATTTCAGCCTCCTGTCCTTATCTCAGGTTGGTATATGATACTGAGCACTTCTAGGATATCCCAGGTCTTCTACCATGCTCTGGGACTTGGCTCAGAGCCAATCGTCCTCACATCCCATCGATTATTTTAATTGTTCCCCACCATACGCTGGAGACACCAATTATATCTATTTCCTGCTCCCTGGCCAAGAGCCTAGCTCAGCCACTTTCATTGCATTAGCATCGAGACAGCTTTCCTTTAGACTCCTAATGTAAGCAAGCTCCCACCCCCACCTTCTGCATCCTGGAGTGCAGTGCCATGAGGAGCAGCCAAGAGGCCTTCCCTTGGGCAGGAGATGTGGGAAATGGCAGTCTGAGCACTTCTGTCCAGAGAGCAAGTCCCACCTCACAACCAGCCACCCCCACAAATAAGAAAATGCAAAAGAGAACTCATCCCTGATACTCCCTTTGCTAAGAAGAGAGGCATCTTTCCCTCCCTACTTTCTTGCAAAGTTAGGCATGGCAATCCAGTCACATTCTGCAGAGCTGGAAAAAGAGCTAAAGGCCTACACGAGCTCAACCTGTTCTGTTTTACTATCAAGAAAGCAATGCAATTTGCAAGAAATGATGGAAACTGCCTAAAGCAGTGTGAGAAGGCCCATGAATGTGGGCCCATGAACTGTGTGCACAGTCTAAACTTCTAAAATCCATCACATGCTTGTTCCAGAAGTAACATCCACAATGAGGCCATTGTCCTAGTTGCTCAGACACAACTGAATTTGTTTATCCAACCCACCCCTGCCAGTACACACAATTACTCTATTACCGTCTTCAGCTTCCTAGCCTTGAATTACAAAGGCTGCTGTACCAATGGATCTTGAACAGCATGAGCCTAAACAGGGACAGAGGGCAATATGCCATAGCGCTACTTCCCCCAGACTCACCTAACCTGGTGAGATTAACTTGGGCAAACGAACAGGCTACAGGCAGGGGACACAGATGTTGCTCCTAGAGATCCCCGTGAGACAAATCCACGGGGAGCTGAAGACATCGGCTAGGCTGCTGTCCAGCCACGCTCATGCTCTTTCCAAGAACGCCCAAGCCTACGCACTCGCACAGCTCAAGCCACTTTCAGCTCACACCAGTGGAGCTGGTTTTGATCAGCCACCATCCTGCTGCCAGGACATGGCTCTCTTGTCTTCCCATGACACAGATGATGTCCAGTACGCTAGGTGTTTCATTCTTACTCTTTCTTTGCCGCTGATTTCCAGTTGTATCTCCTTCTCTCTTAGCTTCTTCCACTGAGTATAGTACTTGGTCAGAGGTGTCCCCTCCTCTTTGACCTGCTTTTCCCATTGTTCCTGTGGAGAGAAGGGGGACAAATTTAAGAAGGGTTTTCAAAGCAGTTTTCCAATACAACCTTTGGCAAACTCAGGGAGTCAAGAACAGAGGTTAAGATCCTTTCCCAAACCACCTTTTCCCAGCTGCTGGGTAGGAAATTGGCAACCATGGCAAAGAATGCAAGCAGGACTAAGTGTGAATTCAGGCACAATCATTTAAGCAACTTGTGAGTCAGGAGTGGTGTGACTGACAATTCTCCTTAGGTAAAGCATTGCCTGGGCACTGCAAGGAGACCAAAGAAAGCCAAAAGATTAAATGGACAGGTTGGCCAATGCAACAGCTTATTTATGCAATACCAAAGCACAGGATACCAATGGCACTGAAGGACAGCATAAGGTCCTCATAAAGGAGCATCTATATGGTGGTGCATAAGATGCTTTAGCTGATGGAAGATCACCAAATTTTCTCAGCATGGTGGCCTGAAATGTGGGTTCCCAGATTCCTATTTCTCCCTTCTAGAAGAGGCCTGATTCTCAGAATTGCTAAGAACTCACAAAAGGCTCTCCTAAGATCAGCTCAATGCCTTCTGGGAGTCACTATTACTATCTGGGCCTTGACCATTCACTTCTACTCTGGCTCTAGAGAGAAGACATTGACACAGAAGTCAAGTCAGATGATGCAGCCTACTGTAATGAAAAAGAAAGTACTTCAACTGACACCTGAAGGTAGAAATCGAAGGGACAGATCAGAGGATCTATCAGGACAAAATTTGTCCCCTGCTCCTTCAATGGAGGCATTTGATCACCTGCTCAGTTCTTGCTTTTTAATTCAGAAAAACCTCATGCAAGCATTTACAAGACCTAAGTACCAAAGATGCCTGATTGCCTTTTCCCCCTGTTCTACAGCCAAGTGTTTATTTTTGAAACAAACATTCCCCTGCAGGGTCTTGGACTCATCCCAACCTTGAGAGAGCAGAGCATGAAGAAGTGCTGAGCCTGTTTCCGCTGTCCAAGCAGGGAGAATAAGGAGGTGCAAACACCGTAAATGGTGGGAAGCAAATTGATGGTTAAAAATTCTTTTACGCTTCAATCATTTGGCATGGTAGTGCTGAAAGGGGGGGTGGGTGGTGTGGTATGTCATATTAAATACATTCTTCTTAACCTGCCAACATCCCTTTAGCTTAAAACCCACATAGAACTGTACCTGCTAACCGGATTACCACAGTGCCCAGAGGCTTTGCATTACCCCACAGTAAAAAGTCAATCTAATGTAAGCAGAAATACATGACATACAAGTTGGAATTGAAACAGGTGAAGGAGCAACAGGAACAAAGGTTAGCATAGATACACTCAAAGGTCAACACGGATCCAAAAAGAGTATCCTGAACCCAGGAATGAACGAATCCAGATCTCTGTATGGGCAGCTGTGTGTACACAATGCTCCTCTTTGAGCATGGGAACAAAAGGCCAGAACAAGAACATCTTCACAGCAGAAGACACAGCAGCAGCTCAAATATTCTTCAGCATATCCTAAATCAACTGCTGCTGGGGAGCTGAACCCCAAAACTAGGGAGCTATGGTGTGCTGGCTGCAGCCTGTGAGCCAAGGTGCGGGAAGAAGTTTGTATAAAGAGCAGTGTATGAACAAGATGACAGAAAGTGCAGGTCTCCGCAATGGATAGCAGCGCAGAGCTCCCAGCTTACACAAATAAGCAAGTAGTCAGTGTATATTATGAAGTGAAATATATCAGTCTACACCAGCTCTCGATTTGGCCCATCACTGGGAGGGAAGTGGAGATGATCTGTGGTCTCTGCAGCTGGCACCAGGAGCTGAACTTTGGCAATTAAATGGCGACCAGCTTGTGTCACCTGCACTCTAATGGCGCAGAATCTATTTATGTATCCTACAACAGGCACTATCAATACTGCATGAAGCCAAACAGGCCCTTTCTGGTAATCACGGGTCCCAGACTCACCCCCACCCCCCCCGGGACTGTTTGTAACACAGCTCCAGGTCTGCACGGCTGGAGCCTGCGTCTGCTCTCCGGTCTCCTCCCCGGCAGGCTGGCTGAAAGCAGAGCTGATGTACGGCCGACTCCAGCAGCACTCGCTAGCGGAGACGCCAGCCAGCAGACAGCGCAGCTTTACTGTCGATCTGACCCACCACTATGGCAAGAGGAGTAATTCCCGAGCAGTACAAAGTCACCCCATTTATAGATCAGGCTCATATCAGGCTGCCAGCTGTAATCAGACAATTTGTTGATGCTGCTTGGTATGGACAGCTTCTGAGAAAGGCTCTTCCTAGAGAGGGCAAAAGTCTATTTGTTCTGTCTGATACAGCTTTTTTGGTTTTAAAATGTGCTGGAATCCAGAGATAAAGACCATTAAAACACTCCTGCCTTTCTAGTCAAACACCTCAATGGGAATTTTGAGACAGTGGATGCCATCACCCCACCTTTAAGCATTTTCAGTTCTCTTCTATTAGTCCTTTTGGATCACTGTGCTATTGGGCGACACCCAGCACGGATCAAGCCCACAGTGCTACCACCAGTACAAATGTAACAAAGATCATCACCTAACCTCCCATGTGAAATGTGAGATGGGCGTGAACGCGGAAGATCTGGAAATCCCATGGAAATGAGGCAATGCTTTCCATCAGCTCATTCCCTCACTTCACATTTCATTGAGCGTAACAGCCTGCTGGACCACACTGCTCTTCAACGAGGGTTCCCCAGCTCCGTGCAAAGGTCTGCCCAGGAGCCACAAAGCTGTAACGCAGCCTGGCACACTCCGTGGGTCCTGGTGCACTCTTTTTCCTTCCCTGCATTTTCCCCTGCCAGTCCAGGGCCCACACTAGTGCAGATGAACCTAAAATCAGAGCTGCACATTAAGACAGCTGGATTCAACTTCAGCTGCAGGCTCCGCTTTTTTTGGCTCCCCTCACAAAGACCTTAATTAGTATAGTAACCTATTAGCATTGTACTCTCAAAAAAAGCACTTGACTCTCAAATATTAACCTCTTGCAAAAAAAAAAAAAAAAAAAAAAAAA